ATGACAGTTGGGTGCAATGCATAGTCCTGCCTGGATTCCATCCTTTTGCTAATTATCATTATCAAAGTTCAGAGATACACAGAATAAAGGAATCCAGGTTAATATTAGCAATAATAATAACTTGATATATAACCATAGTCGACATTATAATAGTAACCTGCAGGATTAGGGGAGTAGGTAACAAATACAACAGATTTGGCAAGTTCAAAGATTTATAATATGCCAGTATCTTTCCATTCGCACCTCCACTTGAGTTGAGCCAGAATTGTCTCATTCCCTTTATGAAAAATTTTCACAAAAAAGTTTAAAACCTGCATATAAATATTTACATATAATTTTCTTAATAATAGAAAAGTTGTCTAAATGGAGAAAATTTTTTATCCTCAGATTAGTTGAAACGGTTCACTGATTCTGTCTGGTGGATTAAAAATATGTCTACAAAGTTTTTGATATGATTCTCCTCAAGAGGTAGAACTTAATTATCCTCCTCTTGAGTGTAGACTGGATTTGATAACTTGCTTCTGATGAATAAAACATGATATGACAGTGTGTAACTTTTGAGAGTGTGTTATAAAAAAAAGCATTGTAATTTTCTCCTGACTCTCTAAGATCATTCACTCTACAGTAATCCAACTGTTATATCACAGAACACGTAAGTAGCTCTCCAGAGAGACCCACATGATGAAGAACTGAGATCTGCCAACAACCACGTGAGTGGGCCACTTTGGAAGTGGATGCACTAGTCCCAGTGAAGTGCTCAGATGACCAAAACGCTGGCTGATGCTGTAACTGCAATCTCATGAACGATACTAAACCAGAAGCATCCAGTAAGCCATTTCTGAGTTCCTGACCAGCAGAAACTGTGAGATAAAATGTTCGTGATTCTAAGGTGCTAAATTTTGGAGTAATATATAACCTTCAAAGATAACAGATATACTCCGGAAGGATTAATTTTTTTAAAAAGCACAGCTAGCTGAGAGTAGTGGCATAAATCTGTAATTCTAGCTGAGGCAGGAGGATCTCAAGTTGGAGCCCAGCCTGGGCACCTTAGCAAGACCTAGCAAAATAAAAAAGGCTACAGATGTAGCTCAGCACTCCCTAGGTTCAATCCCCAGTACCACCAACAAAATAAATAAAATAAAAATAAACATCACACCTAGAAAGTAAGAAAAAAACCTTATAAGCATCAGAGAGAAAGAAAAAGTTACTTTTTTTTTTTTTTTTAGATAGGGTCTCATTGTGTAGTTCAGGCTGGCTGTGAACTCACTATATAGCCCAGGCTGGCCTCAAACTCCCACCCCCAGCCTCCTGAGTGCTGGGATCACAGACGTGTGCCACCAATGCCCAGCAGAAAAAGTTACTTAACAGAAAAAAGAAAAATAAGATTAAAAATTGTTTATTTTATTAGTAATAGAAGTTGCAAGTCCAGTACTACAGCTTCTGGATAAAAAAACATTCAGTTTACCTAAGGCTATAGTTTGGATATGAAATATCCCACAGATGCTCATGTGTTAAAAGATAAGACCTATGGTAAAGAAGCCTTTTAGAGTTAGCCTAGGTTACTGGGCATTTTTTTTAAAACAAGGTTTCACTATGTAGCCCAGTCTGGCCTTGAACTCACTATGTAGCCCAGGTTGCCCTCAAGCTCCAGGCAGTCCTCCTGCCTCAGGCTCCCAAGTGCTGGGATTACAGGTGTGCACCACCATGCCCAGCTTGGGTGTGTACTTTTAAAGAGGGTATGAGACCCTGGCCCCTTCCTGTCTCCCTGATTGTTGGTAACTATGAAGTGAACATCTTCCTCCACTATGCACTCCCCACCACAATGTACTACCTCACACCAGTCCCAAAGCCAATGAACCAAGCAACTAGGGATTCAAACATTTGAAATTGTCAGCCAAAGTAAACCTTCCTCCCTTATAATTGCTTATCTCAGGTATTTTGTCACAGGGATGAAAACTGGCTAACACCTCTATGTACTGTATGAAAAATAATGGAAGAACCTCAGATGATAGTGTATACTAACAGTCCAGCCACTTGAGAAGCTGAGGCAGGAAGATCACTTGAGCCCATGAATTTGAGACCAGCCTGGGCAACATAATCAGATCCTATCTCAAAAAGAAAATACACACGTACAAATAATGGAAGTATAATAATTTCTTGTTATTATAAACCACATAATCATTTAAAATGAAGTAGCATTTAATCATGAGGACATCAAGATCTAGGGAATAACAGTACAAAAAAGGATATTTTACAGTATTTAAATCCAAGTAAATGGAGACCATTGTGAATAAGAGTTTATAATATATTTTTTCTTTTTGCCCCCTTTTTTCATTTTTAAATTTTTTTCTTGGTACATTTTAGATATATATAATGTTAACATTCACCATAGGGAATTTGTACCTGTAATATATCTTGATTCTTTTTTTCTCATACCCCTCCCCTCCCTTCAATCCCTCTTCCCCTCCTTATTTACAAAAGCTTTGTTTTCATTTTTTTTCCTGGTCCCTTCTTTCCTTTTCCTCTCCATCCTCCTTTGTTCCCCTTCTCATTTGAACATTTTCTTCCCATTTCCCAATATCTATTGTACATTTTGGTCCTTATTTACACTTTTGATTTTTCACACCAGAAAAACAATGTGGTGTTTGATTTATTTCACTTAAGAGTATGAAGACTTTGTAATATTTTGTAAAATGAATCTTAAAAGAGGAATAACTTCCATACATGTGGTGTAATCTTAGGACTACTTTCTCAAACATAATCCATCATTCAACAGTCATGTGTTTGTAACTTGTACTTTGCATATTAGTCTTTTTTGCTTCTGTAACAGAATACCTGAGACTGGGTAAACTGTACTAAAGAGAAATGTGCTTGTTCATGGTTTTGGAAGCTGGAAAGTCTAAGACCAAGGAATCAGAGTCTGGCAAGGGCAAGAAGGCTGCATTAACCCACAGTGAGAGGACAAAGAGAGAAAAAGAATATGATGAAGAAGAAGGAAGAGGAACAGGCCGAGGGAAGGAGAAGCAGGGGAGGGATCAAGAGAACCAAACACACCCTTTTACAAGGAACCCAGGCCTGTGATAAAGGCATTAATCTATTAATCCATCCATGGGTAGAACATCCACAGCCTAAACACCCCCAAAAGGTCCCACCACTTAATATGGCTTCAGTGATGATGAAGTTTCCAACACATGCTTTTTGATGGATATACTCAAACTATAGCATATATATTCTTTTTTTTTTTGGTACCGGGGGTCGAACTTGGGTCCTTGCGCTTGCGCAGCAGGGGACGAAACCCCTGAGCTAAATCCCCAGCCCAGCACATATATTCTTATGAAAAAAATTCGGGGGGTGCAATTCACAGACTTTGGAATCCTACAAATGGAACTTCTTTTAAGAACTACTGATAGCCAGGCAAGGTGGCACATGCCTATAATCCCAGCTCTTAGGAGGCTGAGGCAGCAGGATTGCCTCCAGTTCAAGGCCAGCTTGGCCAACACTGTCTCAATAAATAAATAAATAAATAAATAAATAAATAAATAAATAAATAAAACTACTGATAGGCAATTCATGATCTGTTAGGTGTTAGATGTTAGATGTGCTAAGTTCATGGTCTCACAACCTTGAGGAATAAAAAGTATCAAACCAAAGGAGGAAATTAGGACAGTTTTTTTTTCATTGAGTTTATTGGTACATTTTAGGTATACAATACAGTTACATTCATCATTGGGATCTTGTACCTTTACATGATGTACCTTGGTTCTTATTTTTCCCCATTCCCCTGCTCTCCCTTCAGCCCCTCCACCCTTCCCTATTTACAAAGTCTTTGTTTCCACTTTTTCCTTTTCTCATATTTTTTTTTCTTTTCCCTTCTTTCCTTTCTCCCACTTCCCCTACTCCTTTAGACCTGTTCTCCCTATTTCAATTATCAGTTATACATTTCAATCCTTATTTACACTTTTAGTTTTTCACACCAGAGAAACTATTCAGTATTTACACATTTGGATTAGGACAGTTTTATAGGAAATGAGGGTAGTTTGATGCAACAATAAAAGTGTGGTACATACCACAATGGGCTAATGCTTAAAAGGGCAGCAGGGGTTACACACAAATTAGTACATGTAAAAACTGGTGAAATCTAAGTAAGATTAGTGAATAATTTTTCACAGATGTCAACTTTGTGAGTTTGTTGTGTTATAGTTATTTATTCATTTAGATTTTTGAGACAGGGTCTTGCTATGTAGTTCAGGCTGGACTTCAGCTCACGTTGGCCTCGAAATCACTGTGATCCTCCTGCCTCATCCTGCCAAGTGCTGGGACTACAGGTGTGAGCCCCCATACCCAACCTGTTGTAGTATACTCTATTTAACATGTTTACCCTTGAGGGAAGCTTAGTGAAAAGTGCATGAAACTGGTATATTCACAATTTCCTGAGACTCTATAATTATTTCAAAATAAAGAGTTAAGGAAAAAAATCAAACAAGAAATACAAGCTCATTAAATATTTTGTCTTTGAAAAAAATCCATCTACTGACTGTGGATGGCCCTATAATTTGTATTCGTCGCCTTTCATGAGATTATAAGCCCTATTTTCTATGCATCACAATTGAGATTTTGGTTAACTTGTCCAAGGCACAGGTAATGTTAGTTTTAATCTGGAACAATTTAGAAGTTCCTCTCCACTTCTTCCACCACATTGGAAAAACGGACTGCAAAAAAACCTGGCATCTCTTCAGCAGTTGCCTCCTGATGCAAAAACTGCTCAACCTTCAATCCTTTTCTGTGGCCCAGCCTACAAAAGTAGCAGCATCTCACACTTCCCAGCTGAAGCTCAGCCTAACTCTTGTAACTATTAATGCCTCCCACGCTGTGCCTTATTACTCCGCCGCCAGCGCGCAACTTGCGGTCACGTGGCAGGGCCCGCCCAATGGTCAAGGCCCACGCTTGCTAGACCGCCACACGCGCTCACAGAGCCAGAGCTATCTCTGCGCCCTGCTCCGGCCTCACGGTACGCCTGCCTTAAGCCTCCCCGGAGGTCCGGGCCGTCTGGTTTAAGGGTTCCCACCGAGCGTTGTTTTCCAGTTCGGGCACCGGAGCATGTCCTGATTGGCGCGGTAGGGACCCATTTGAGATAGGAACCACTTCCTGAAGCGCGAGGCAGGAAGTTATCTGGTACCTCTGGAGTCCGGTGGAGAAAGTGCTGTCTGCCTCACTGGTGACGGCGAGAGCTGGAGGTGGGTTGGGAGACAGGCCTTTTGGTCGCCCTCCTTCGCTTCTCCCCAGCTAGAAGCCGGTTTTCATCGCAGCACCACGGCCCTGGTGTCCAGTCCTGAGCCTGGCGCGGCTGCCCGGGAGCCTCCTTCAGGTTCCTTGAAGCCGCTCCCAGGGGTACCTACCCAGGCATCACCTAGGCCACCAACCAGGGGACTGGCTCCCTTCAGCACTCTGGAGCGCAGTAAGAAGTGCCCTTATCGCTCCACCCCCTGTCCCCGCTCCTCAGACCACCGAGACCCTGGTCCAGAGCGACTGCCTTGGACCTGGGACTAGAACGGATCCAAAACGCTCAGCCTCGGCCCACCACAGACGGGACTCTGCATTGTCTCTAATATGTCGCCCACCATCTCTCACAAGGACAGCAGTCGGCAACGGCGGCCGGGGACTTTCAACCATTCCCTGGATATGAAGACCGGTCCTCTGCCGCCCGGCAGCTGGGATGACAGTCAGCCGGACTCGGTGGGCGGGGAAGAGGACAGAGAAGCTCTTCTGAGGGATGCTGACCCTGGTGACTTCTTGAAAGCCCCGCGGAGCTGTCGAGCCGAAATAAGCAGCATTTTGCTACTGCTCTTTCTTTACGTGCTCCAGGGCATCCCCTTAGGCCTGGCGGGAAGCATCCCACTTATTTTGCAGAGCAAAAATGTTAGCTATACAGACCAAGCTTTCTTCAGTTTTGTCTTTTGGCCCTTCAGTCTCAAATTGCTCTGGGCCCCTTTGGTTGATGCAGTTTACTTCAAGAACTTTGGTCGTCGAAAATCCTGGCTTGTCCCTACACAGTATGTACTAGGACTCTTCATGATATTTTTATCCACTCAAGTGGATCATTTGCTCGGGAATGCCGATGGCAGAACACCTGATGTAGTTGCCCTTACTGTGACATTCTTTTTATTTGAATTCCTAGCCGCAACTCAGGACATCGCTGTGGATGGTTGGGCGTTAACTATGTTATCCCGGGAAAACGTGGGTTATGCTTCCACTTGCAATTCAGTGGGCCAAACAGCAGGCTACTTTTTGGGCAATGTTTTGTTTTTGGCTCTTGAATCTCCCGACTTTTGTAACAAATATTTGCGGTTTCAACCTCAACCCAAGGGAATCGTTACTCTTTCAGGTAGTGTATTTAAGCGATTATGTTATTAGGCTTATTTTACGTTTATGAATTCTTTGAACTTTGAAGGGAAGTTTATTATTTAATTTACTGGAAATCTATGGTTAATGACTCAAGTTTTATTTTCTGTTCCCTTAAAATGGGGTTCCTTGAAGTGTCCGTAAAGTTAGATGACTACATCAGAGCAATCATAATTGATCAGTGCTTTGCAGTAAACAGGGAGGAGCAACAGATAAAATAACCCTTGAGCCTAGGCATCCATGGGTACTTGTGTAATATACAGATGCACTTTTTTAAAAGTCTAGCTCATGTGGCTCACATTTTCCATTTTGTGTTTTGGTGGACTGAGTTTTCTAGCATCTTGCTTTCTGATGCATTCCACCCCTAATTTTGCGCCAGTAGTCCTCATCTAGTCTTTTGGTGAACAGAACAGGGTTAATTCTTGCAGACATTGCTGAGTTGGCTAAGTGACAGGATTCTGAGGGCCTCCTTTGAGTAAGATAAGAGCCCCACCAACAAGGAATGGGGAGATGAATATTTCACAGGAGCCCTGAGTTGCCAGCCATTGACTGCTTGTGGGAGTCAAGCTTCACATTGCAGTTAATTTATGACTTCGTTCTTTGCTGGGTTTTTATTTAGATGGATTTGTTCTTGTGAATAGCTGTTTTAATAACTTGGAATTTGAACTTTGTTCTCTTGGAGATTTTAAAAGCAGCTTACTTTTTAACCACCACCCCGTCTCCCAGTACTGGGGATCAAACCTAGGGCCTTTGCCCTGAGCTACATTCCCAGCCTTTTTAAAAATTTTGAAACAAGGTGTTGCTAAATTCCCCAGATTGGGCTTGAGCTTGTGCTCCTTCTGCCTCAGCCTCCCAGAGTGTTGGGATTTCAAGTGTGCATCACCAAATCTAATTTAATTTAATGTTTATATCTGTAATGGGCTTCCACTTTTGGTTCATACATTTTAGTTAAGAGTTAAAGAGTTCCTGTAATTTTATTCTCCTCTAAATGATTATATGTATCAGATTTATGGTTTTGTGGCACTTACTATTTAGCCAGTAGGGTTGAGTTTTTTGGTTTGTTTGTGTGATGCTTGGAATTGAATCTGGGGCTCATGCATGCTAGACAATTGCTGTACTATTGGGCTAAGTCTCGAGTCCTAACCAATTGTCGGGAGCAATGCTACATAATTTTAGGGAAAAATCATTTTATTAGGCCTGGTTCTCCTGCCTACAGACCAGCTATGGCATTTCGAGACATGATTCCATTTAGGCCTCCGGTCATAACTGAGACCTCAATGATCCGGTCATGCTGTGATGCTCCAGGGCAAGACCACACCTGCGGGAGACATACTGGGAGGAACCAAATCTTCAACTGCATAGTTCCTCATTGGTCTCGGAATTCCGCACTCCCCAGTCCACTGTTTGTTTCTCCCACGTGCGGCAAGCTGGGGGGCTTTTGTCTTTGCTGTCCAGAGCAGCACTGATCAGGCTCAAAGCTCAGCTTCTTCTCGGTCTCATTTTTTCTGCCTTTCTGTATAATAAGTTAATTTGCCTTGTGCTCCCGTGGCTCGCAGGAGACTAGGACTTACTGCAGAGGTTCTAGTAACGTCCTCTTTCCCTGTTCCCCACAACCAATGATTTTGAGGAATTTGAAGAACACAAAAAGAATCATATGAAGGAAAAATAGTTAAAAAGAGTGAAACATCCAGACAGTACTTAGAAAAACTGAGCATTAAAAAGAGGCATTATTTTTAAAATTCTAAATTTGTGCTGTAATTAACACTGTTTTGCATGTAATAATAGATAAGCAGAGATGGAACATACTGAGTATCTGTGCTGCCGAGGGGCACACAAGATGAATGTACTGAGAAATAACAGTATTTAACATCTAGAAAAGAGTAATCTACATAGCAAATTTAGACCTGGACAGATACAAAGAGATGATAGTCCCTTAAAGACCAAGCTTTGATTATGCTGAGATTGTCTTTTTCATACTTTCAGAAATCCATGACAGTCCTGAATGCAGAAATAGCTTTTTCTGTTCTTACCCACTTTGTTTTTCAAGAATCTCTAGAGGCAAAGAGAGATCTTTTAAGCTGAAAGAAAGGTGAAACTAATCCAGAGGAGCATAAAGATTGGAACATAAAGTTTTGTTACTTGAAAAGATTGTGCATTTCAATTTCTTCATTCTTATATATGAGGAAACTGAGGTCAAAGTAACAAGTTAGAGGTACAGATGTACTTGTAGTTTAGGCTTCCTAACTCCTATATGATGTTTTTCCTACAATTAGTTGGAAATTAGAAAAAAACCTAAAGGAAAACTTGAGACCTGAATATGTGCTGATTGGGCTTGTTGACCAGAGAAATGTAACACTGTGACACCTGATGTCTAAAAAAATACCATCTCACTCTTTAAATGTCTGATTCCCAGAACTGACATGCTAAAAGTTTTTTTGTTTTAATGAATTAATTTTTTGGCAGTATTGGGGATTGAGCCCAGTTCTTTCACACCGAGCAACATCCCCAACCCATTTTCTTATTTCTTATTTTGAGACCAAGTCTCCCTAAGTAGCTGAGTTGTCCAGGCTGGGTTGGAACTTGGGATTGTTCCTGTTTCAGCCTCTTAAGAGTGTTGGGATTACAGAGGTTCACCACTATGCCCAGCTGTTTTAATTTTTTAACCAACCAACGGCATTTATTTACTCATAACTGAATGCCTATATGGTGCTAACCGGGTGATAGGTGTTATAATATATTAAAATATACGAATTTTCTGCTCCCAAAGAACTCATGGATTATTGTAGAAGATTTGTAAACCAAAATGACTCAGTGGGTGGATGGTTAATGTGAGTCAATAGAGTTGGTGCAAGACTGTAGAAGTTGGAGGGCATAATGATGACCCAAGAAACCCATGCCCCCCTGAAGGCAAGGAGTTTCAGTGCAGTAAATTGTTTTGTGGCAGTAGGATTTCAGAATTGTTAGGCCATGTTCAGGAAAAGCTGGAAATTCCCTGGTAGTTGAAACTTCTCTAGTAGCAGTAGTAACAATGATTAGAAGAAGCAATTGAGAGAGGGACCAGCATATTGGAATGTAGAAGAAGGGTAGCCAGACACCAGAGAAGAAGAGAGGCGGATATTAGCGTTGATAGGTTTTTTTGGTAGACATGCACATGTAGGAATCAGAGGAAGAAAGTATGTAACTTTGAAAAAGCAAATGCTGTAAGTATGAATCTAATCAAACTTGTGATGTTAATAAAATAACAGCTACTTTAAAGATGTTTCTGCTTTGAACTAGAAAAAAAGTAGGACTATTAATTCCTACTTAGTGACAGTTGCTTTGCTTTCAGAAACAGTTCTCATTTGTGTATTTTATACAACTAGAAATACTTGTTACAGAATTTCAGCATGCTAATTGGCCCACTATTAGATAAACCATTTCTTCTTAGGCTATAATACATCCTTTAGTATTCATCTGTGGCCTTGAAATACTACCTTATGTTCTCAGAATGACAAAAGTAAGGGATAGAGGACAGATCTGTACTTGCTTCGGCTGTGTGTAGGAGAAGTCAAATGAGGATAAATGAACATATCAGAGTTTTGGGGATGTGGTAGAACTGTATCCTGATTGTAATTATTTGAAACCTATGCATGTTTTCAAATTCATACTACAGTACACAAAAAATTTCAATTTTACTGTATAAGTATTTAAAGTAAAATTTATTTTTTAAAAATTAAAAAAAAACTATCCATTACCTCAGAAGTTAATTTGTAGGTAAATATTACTCAAAGTATATGGTATGAAATCTTTGAGTTTAGCTTCTTTTTTGCCTTCAGTGGAACCAGTAAACAAATCTGGTGACTCTTACATATCAATATAGAAAAACAGCAAATTTGAACTTATTTTTAAATGTTGGGGCCCTAGTAGTAAAATGAGATAAGTGGAAGAACACTGGGGTTAGTAGATTCAGGGGGAATTATATATGGAAGACCTGAGACCCATACCCCAGAAGGAAAGTCTTAAAGCCTTTTTTCTTTTTAAATACAGAACAAAGGATAAGTGTAGTATTTTTGTTTTGTTTAGTTTAGTTTGGTTATGTGAAGGACTGAGGAAATGCTTTTGTTTGGAAAGTCTATTTACAAAATACACTAAACTTAAAATCCACTTATTTCACATATTTTAATCTGAATTTCACTATTGAGACTTATTTCAAGGCCAATTGTACTAGCTTTTACTACATAAATATATCAATGAAAAAACCATAGAGTCTCACTAATTTCAAGCAGTATCCTATTTTAATTGTTCATGTGTTCCTAAAAACTATAACTTAATTTGAGAAGGCAAAATAGACTTACCTAATACAAAGGGCCATTCTGATCCTGGAAAATTAAAAATGTAAAATATAAAATCCTTGTTTTACTCTTTTAGCCACAATTACGAATAAATCTTGAATATAATATATGCTTTTTAATTTCATTCAACTGGTGACCCAGTGCCAGACACATGATACTACTGTTTCAGGTTTTTTTTACCGTGAAATTGAGAGCCTTGAATTCGATGGTGGGTATCCGAAGTTTCTTCAGGTTCTAACTGTTAAGTAGAGAGCTGTGCCAAAAAGAAGAAAGTGAAAGGAAAGCCAGACATTTATTTAGAACAGAAACTTACCCTTTTGTTTTCCCCACACCTCAATTCTCAACTAAGCTAAAGTTAGTTTTCTTACTGTAAACTACAATTATTTCTTTACTGTAAGAGAGAGCTAGCAGGAGAGAGAACCCAGTCTCACCCAAAGACAGTTGTAACAGAGTGGGCCTTAATGTTCCCACCTCTTCTGACAGTGGAAGAGAGTGACACAAAGGGTCTGAGGGCTTTAAGTCTAATGTTTTATCATAAACATCCTTGGAAATGTTACCTTCTCTACAATGCATTTATTGGTATTAAAATATTTCCCTATAAGTTAATAGATACAATGGATGTATAAAATTCGTTTATCCTATGGATTTGTGTACCCTTCAGGATACCACCAATGGGGAGATAGATGGAGGTGAGAAGGGGGAGTATATAGGTAGCCAGTTTAAAGAGGTATAATCAAATATCTATGTATCACACCTTATTGTTGGAACTAAAATATATTCCCTTTTTCTCAGGGGTTTCTGGATGATGGAAAAGAATACCTACTTGGTCTGGGTATATCTGAGCATCTAGGAAATATCATGGGAAATATTCCTGCTTTAAAACTAGACCCAGGGGCCGGGGATTTAGCTCAGTGGTTCTGCTGCCTGCCTCGCAAGCACAAGGTCCTGAGTTTGATCCCTGGTACCAAAAAAAAAAAAAAGAACCTATCTACAAAAAAAAAAAAACAACAAAAAAAAAACTAGACCTGAGTTTGAATCCCACATCTAGCACTTTCTGGTTTGTGATCTTGTTTATGTGTGAAGTAGGGATAATAATGCCTGTCTTTGTAATTTCTTTCTTTTTAAGACAGGATCTTGCTATGTAGTCCAGGCTGGCCTTGAACTCACTGTGTAGTTCAGGCTTGCCTCAAACTCAGAGAAATTTGCTCCCTCAGCCTCCCTAGTGCTGGGATTATAGGCATGTGCCACCAAGCCCAGCTTTGTGAGTAATTTTTGAGAGTTAAATGAGATTACCAGAATTTTCGAATGAAAGCTTTGGCTCTGGGGTCCCAAGGAATTTCTGCTACCTCCCAAAACACCAATCAAGGAGGGCCAGGGATTTAGCTCAGTGGTTCTGCTGCCTGCCTCATAAGCACAAGGTCCCGAGTTCGATCCCCCATACCAAAAAAACACAAAAAACAAACACCAATTCAGGAGACCTGTGATGCTAGACATCAGGAAAGGAGCTTTAATCAACATGACCATGTTGACAAGGATAGATAAAGAGGCTCAAGATATGTCTTTGAAGTCAGGCAAGGTGAGAAATGATATATGTAAAATATGTTGCATGTTTATGGCTCATGGTATGCACTGAATTAATAGTGCCTCTAGCCAGGCACAGTGCTGCTGTAACCTTATCTAACTCAGCATGTTGAAGCAGGAGAATCACGAGTTCAAGGCCAGCCAGGATAACTAGCAAGACCCTGGCTCCAAAACAAAACAAATTTTTAAAAATAGAGAGGTTTATAAATAAATAAAAATTTTAAAATGGAGAGGAGCTGAGGATGTAAGTGAGTGGTAGAGTGCTTGCCTAGCATACTTGAAGCCCTGAGTTCAGTTCTCAGTACCAAAAGAAACATTAAACTAATGAAAAAATAAAATAATGCTTCTATTTTTACTGTTATTTTTAAGCAGACTGTTTAACAGACTCTCAGACTATTATTCACCACTAAATTTGTCCAAAGGTAATAATAGCTCATGGTCCACCTATCTTTCACTGAAACTGCCCGTAAGTATTCTTGTGTCCTCATTCTATACCTACACAATTTTGTATGAAGAAATTGCTTCCCTATCATAGTATTGAAAAGAGAAGGTTATGCTTAAAAAGATTAAAAGCATTAGAAAATTTTAAAAGAGGAAATCTGTAAATAATCATCTGTTTATGGTCTGGCTTGTCATAACTGAATTGGTACGGGTATTTAAGTGTAACTAGTGGATATTATGAGATATGAAACCATGCCTCACCCCTAGCACTTTCCTTGAATAAAATGACACAATAGGCTTTTGTTTCATTCAACTCAGTTATATACTAAATGTCTGTAATCCTTTTTTTTCTTGTTAAGTGCCACTGTGTATTTTGTCTCTATCCAATGTATATTTAAGAGTTTAGGACTCTTATTTATCTATTATCTCTAGATTGGTGCCTTGAGCAAAATAAATAGGCATCTAAAAGGGTTTTTTTTTGTTCCGGGGATCGAACTCGGGTCCTTGCGCTTGCTAGGCAGGCGGTGGAACCACTAAGCTAAATCCCTGTTTTAAGTTGAGAAAAAGTTTTATACAGAATTGTTTAGCATTAATGAAGTTATGTCATTTCAAAAGTTATTTATAGATTTAAAATACTCTTAATTTCAGATTTTCTTTTTTTCTGGGGAACTGTATTTTTAATAACAACAACTTTAGTCGCCCTTCTGAAAAAAGAAAACAAAGAAGTATCAGTAAAAGAAGAAACACAAGGGATCACAGATACTTATAAGCTGCTTTTTACAATTATAAAAATGCCAGCAGTTCTGACATTTTGCCTTCTGATTCTAACGTCAAAGGTAAGAAATTTATAAAGCAAATTTACCATTCTAATGATCAGTATCATAGACTACATTCAATGACTTTTCATATCATAAGTTCCTTTTGTACTATCATTAGAATTTAACAATGAAAAACAATATTTTCTGTTTGTTAAATGTATTTTAAAAGATATATCAGAACAATTTCAGAGTAAGCTAAATGTCTTGGGATCTTGAAAAGAATTATGTCAATATGTGAAGAACTGCTAATAACTAAAATTGTAATTAACAATATTAATACTTGGAATGGAAATGAATGCCTTGAAAAAGTAATAGTTCTCCAGTGTTATAATGAATATACCTTTAATGTTGGGGTAGTAAAATTACTTACTGAGAATAAAGTTTACAGAGATATAGAAGTGTATCAGTATTAGAAGTCTATTTAAAAATCCATTGAATTTGGGCTTTTGAGACAGGGTCTTGCTGTGTACCACCAGCTGGCCTTGAACTTAGTATGTAGCCCAGGCTGGCCTCAAACTTTCTGTGATCCTCAGCTTCCTAATATTTTTTTAAATAGATAAAGGAAACAAGATAAAATGGGATTACAGTGCTAGTGACTTTTATTCTGTATTAAAATGTTTCATAGTTCTAAAATGCTTGTGTGTGGCAGGCGGCGGGGGCGGTTACTGGAGATTGAGCCCAGGGCCTTCACGCTGAGCTACATCCCCAGACTTCTTTTTATTATTTTGAGACAGGTTCTCACTGAATGGCTAAGTTGCCCAGGCTGGGCTCAAGCATGATCCCCTTGCTTCACCTTCCCAGAGTGCTGGGATTCCACATGTGCACCACCATGCCCGGCTAGTTCTAAAACATTTTTAAGGGATTATAGAAAGAGAAAGATAAGTATATTTTGTTACAGTGAGCTGTTGCTACTCTTGGAATTAATATTCCTAAAATCTAGAAATTTATAGGATTTTCATTTCATATATTTAAACCTATCTACATAAACACTTTATTAGCTATCTTTTGATAGCTTCAGAGGAAACATAGCTTCATTGTTTTCATTTTGAATAATCTTTTTCCTCCTCTTTAATGATAGGGAAGGAAAATTTGCAAATGCTGAACAGTTCAAGGAAGATAATATTATCTCTAGGGCTGGGGATTTAGCTCGGTGATATTGCCACCTGCCTCACAAGCGCAAGGTCCTGAGTTCGATCCCCGGTACCAAAAAAAAAAAAAATATTATCCCATTATATCATTTAGAACCAAACATCATCAGCATTCCAGGCTGGCCTTATACTCACTATTGTAGCCCAGGCTGGCCTAAAACTCGTGATGATCCTCCTGCCTCAGCCTTCTATGTGCGGGGATTACAGGCCTCTGCCACCCCACCTGACTGAAAGCATACTTTGTAATAGCAACATAATAGTCACAGTGATGTAAATTTGCCGTAATCTACTCCAGCATTTTTCTGTTGTATATTTAGTTTGCTTATGCTTTTAATTATGAAAACGCACTAGTAAACATTTTCATGCATAAGCCTTTATTTGATATTCTGAATATTTTTCAGTAGATTCTTAAATGGGAAATTAGTGGGTCAGTGAATATGACTACTGAATTGCTTTTTAAAAGGTTGTACTAATTTATACTACCCCAGCAGTGTATAAAGAGGTACCTCAGTTACAGACGTGATAATCCTATGTTGTCCTTTTAAAGTTAACCTTCCCCAGAATGACATTTCTCATAATTTTCAATACTATAAATTAATTTTCTTTGCCTTTAAGTTTTATATAGATTGACTGTGCAATGTGTATTCTTTGTGTAATTTACTCATTGTTATTTATAGCAATAGTTTGTTCATTTTGTTGCTCTATAATATTCTACTGTATGAATATGCCACTATCCATTCTGCCAACAAATGTTTAGAAGTATTATGAAAGTGCTTCTATAATATTCACGTACATGACTTTTGTTGGACATAATTATATGTTTCTGATGGTTAAATACATAGGAGTGGAATTACTGGGCTACAGGAAATACATAGAAATTATTGCCAGTTTTCCAAAGCTATTGGAATCTTCTGTACTTTCAGCAGTGTGAGTTGATTCCACTATATCCTTGAAAACATATACCATCTTTTACATGTCAGCCTTGCTGATGGGTGTGTAGTGGCATCTTGTTAATGGTTATGATTTACATTCTTCCTGATGATTAAAGAAATGTGAACATCTTTTCATATTATTATTGGGCATTTGAATATTCAGTGTTGCCTTTTTATATTTGTAAAAAAATTAACATATTTTGGAAATAAATGTTTTGATATGCATATTAAAAATATCTCCTAGCATACAAATTTTAAAGAATGGTAAGGTCTTTCAATATCTCATTTTTATGAAGAGAATAGATAAAATGTAAATGAAATTCTTTGCTGGCTATACTGAAATATCCTTGACCTTTAATATTTTTTAGTGAAATATACTCTTTGGTACCATTCCAAGAAGTTAAAACATACACTATCTATAATTTATTTTTAAATATATATATAACTTTTTACTCATTGAAAATTTACTAGTAGAAAGAACTTCCATATATCCTTTATCCAGATTTTCTTTTTTCTTTTTTTTTTTTCGGTACTGGGGATCAAACTCAGGACCTTGCACTTTCAAGGCAGGGGCGGTGCCACTAAGCTAAATTCGCAGCCCTCAGATTTTTAAATTGTTACCATTTAGCTCTACTTTCTTTTTAAAAAATTTTTTTTAATCTACTTTCTTTATTCTGTAGGTTTTCTCTTTTCTATATGTGTATCACATATTTCTTCTGAAATATAATTTACACATTCATCCATTAAAACTTAAGTATTTCCTATGAACAAAACTTTTAAGAAGAATTTGGAAATGTAAGACTGGTATACTATCTATTCACAGCCTTATCAAAGTTTTACCAGTTGTGTCAATAACAGCCTTTATAACTTTGTTTCCTGGCCAGGGATCTAATCCAGGATCACACATTGCATTTGGTTGGTATGAGCCTTTCTTTGTTCTTCATAACCTCAACGTTGTTTAAGAATTCATTCCAGTTTTGGGGCTAGATATATAGCTCAGTATTAGTGCTTGGCTAGTAGCATGCAGCAGGTCCAGACTTTGGGGCGGGGGGAAGAAGGAGAGGGAGGGGGAGGGGGAGGGGGAGAAGCAGAACAAACAAAAAGCCTCCAAAAGAATACATAAGTAATTTTTCTGTAGAATGGCTTTCCATTTACATTGTTTCCCTGTTTCTTCATGCTTGGGTTCAGGTTATGCATATATGGCAGGCATATCACTGAAGTAATATTTTGATATCTTAAGGGAATTATAGAAGGAAACACACCATGCCCCTCTATTCCCTTAATTATTGTTTTTGACTTTGTTCACTTTGTTAATTCATTGGAAAGATAGTTTTACCTTTTGAAATTAAAAACTAATTTGGGCTGGGCTTAGAACTCTGTAGTAGAGTGGTTCCCTAGCATATTCTTGGCCCTGGGTTTGATCACTAGCACTACAAAACAAAAGACAACATCCAAAAAAAACCTCACTAATTTATGAGTAGATACTTTGAGACTACCTAAGTATCTCATTTATTTCAAGCTTTTACCCACTACTTCTGTCATCCTTATTCTTTTTATTGTTTGTAAAAATTGATCTAATTATAGTGTTTCCTCTTCTTCATTTTATTCAACCTCTGCAATGTTTTCCTAGTATTACTTTCAAAACATCACATGACCTTCGGAAATTTTATTATGATCTGTCAGAAATTATCAAAAACATATATATATATATATATATATATATATATATATATATATATATAGTGCTTCATTTAACCAGAATTATTTAAGGTTAGTTAAATGCTTTTAAACTTAAAATCAATTAGTGTGAATTTTTGACACTGTTTATTATAACAGATTGGACTTTTCTGAAGTGAAAATTTACTTGTAATTAGTTCATGTGCAGTAAATAGAGGTAGTGTTGTTTTCTCTAAATATCATTAGTTAAGACAGGGCAAAATGTGCCTTCTGTAATTTGATTGTTTTATCAGATATAGCAGTAACTGTCATGAGTCAAGAGGGAAATTGATGGTTCTTGAAGAACTTACATATATTTGTAGGAAAATATTTTGTAAGTCACAAATTAAAATACTTTTTTGTTTTTATATTGCAGATTGGTTTTTCAGCAGCAGATGCAGTAACAGGACTGAAATTGGTAGAAGAGGGAGTACCTAAAGAACATTTAGCTTTACTGGCAGTTCCAATGGTTCCTTTGCAGATAATACTGCCTCTGATTATCAGCAAATATACTGCAGGTCCCCAGCCACTAAACATATTTTACAAAGCCATGCCCTACAGGTAAAAACTAAATAAAACTGTACTAAAGTAAAAAAATTTTTTAAATGAGGAACATTCATCATTATCACTAATATCTGAGTATAGAGTGTATACCGAAAAAGGCTTGAAGAACATCTTTAATGTCAGTGTCATTTATGCGCACTTTTATCTCTTTAACCTCCTAATAGGTTGTAGGTACAGGCTTCTTTTATATGATTGGCACACAGGTTTCTGTTTTGTTGTCATTTAACCTAAAATCGAAATTAATACAATCCTCCTTTTTCTATAGATTGTTGTTTGGATTAGAATATGCCCTGCTAGTTTGGTGGACTCCTAAAGTAGAGCACCAAGGAGGATTCCCTATATATTACTATATTGTAGTGCTGCTGAGTTATGCCTTACATCAGGTAAGCTTGCCATGGCTTTCACGGGAGGTAAATTGTTCTGTGGCAAAGAAGAAATTTTTCTACAGCTGCCTTCAAATAATGATAATAAATTTTAACATTGAAACATGACTGTGACACTGAGAAAATTATTTGATGATTAATTTTAAGCCTTCTGGCTTTTGATTTCATGAGTTCTGTTTATGGAATTTATTAAAATTTTTTCCTTCAACAAGAATTTGTTACATATTAGAATTGATTTCAAAGCCAACTAATTTTACTGTTGCTAAGTATCCCTATCTTTAGATCTGGGTTCTTTTTCAATTTCTAATATCTTTTCTTCCTGAAAGTATTGAGAAATAATGTTGGCTACTGAATTAAAGATCCCAGGTTTTGGTTTAGATTCTGTACTGAAAGTTACAACTTAGTGTTTCTAATTTTGGAAGCTGCTTTTTCTGTGTTCCTGTTTGTAACCCCTGAAAGAAGTGATCTTACTTTTCTTTAGTCTCATTTAAACTCTTATTGCAGAATAAAATTTGTTGTTCTAGATGTAAGTGATGCAAGTAAATGGCAGAAGCCCAGCAGTGACTTTTGACACTTAATTGCATTTATTTCTAATATGTATTTCACTTTGGGTTTTTCTACCAGAACTATGTAAGCCCTTTAAAAGTTATATTTACTTCTTACTTAGTTCTTAACTTAAAATATGGCTAACAGTTATTCTCAATTTTTTTTTGCATACAGTTAAATAATAATCCATAGTAGATGTTTGACTATACCATATATTTTTAAAATCGAGGGCTGGGGATTTAGCTCAGTGGTTCCGCCGCCTGCCTCACAAGCGCAAGGTCCCGAGTTTGATCCCTGGTACCAAAAAAAAAAAAAAAATCAAGGCCAGGATATTAAAAAGTTTTTGTTTTGCTCACTGTTAGTGCTAGCCACATAATAAAAGTTAAAAGAAGTATGTTCAGTCAATTTTTCACTTTTTTAGGAAAGAAAAACTAGATTCTTACAGTCCAAAAAGTATTTGGCTTTAGATTTCATTAGAGAATTTTCCAAAATGTAATCAGAAATTTAAAAAACTAAACGCTTTATGAGAAAAGGTTATATGGCCAACTAGATTTGAGAAATGATATATTATGTAACTTCTTGGTAAGTAGCACTTTAATCATTGCTTTGAAAAAATATTAGGGAAACACCAATTTCATGCTACAAACTATTCTGAGTATGAACATATAACTGAATTAAGATGTGTTATGTATATATACCAAGTCCTTCTGAGGAATGTGGTCATTTTGTACTCCAAACATGTACTAATAAAAAAAATAAAGATTGAAAAAATAATTTGCTGAGACAAAGTACCACACACTTTATAAAATATAAAATATGTGAGGGCCGGGGATTTAGCTCAGTGGTTCTGGCGCCTGCCTCGCAAGCACAAGGTCCTGAGTTCGATCCCCGGTGCCAAAAAAATAAATAAATAAAATAAAATATGTGGTATTCTATAAAAATAAGATAACTGAATAAATTGTGCCATAATCCTTGCTCTCTTAAGGAATTTATGTCCTAAAAATTGTCAGAAAAAAGAAACTTTTTAAATTTTGTGTAACTTTGTATCTCCCTGTCTTATTTGACTTTGGCACTCCTTTTCTGTGAACAACTCATGGGACAGTGCTTAAAGGAGTACTGTTGTAGTTTGTTTCCATCTTTGTAAGTAGAAAATTAATTTTTGCCTCTTAAACAATTTTTTCTTTTTCTTCTTTTTTCAGTACTAGGGACTGAACCCAGGGTGTCTGCACTGAGCTAAATCTCCACCTTTTTTTGAGACAGGTTCTTGAATTGTAAGCCCCCTGTCTCAGCCTTCCAGATTTCTGGGATTACTCAAAGGTGCCACAATACCCAGCTACTTTTTGCCTCTTAAAGAAGGTTTTTCTTAGGCTGAGAATGTAGCTGAGCGGTAGAGCTCTTGCCTAGGATGCAAGAGACCACGGTATTCCTTTGTCACATGAAGTTTGAAGTGTTATTTGTCTTCTGTATATATAGGAGAAAAAAATGTATTCACATCCTTGAGTGTTTACATATATAATACATATATAAATACATATATATACACTATATATGTATATATGTAGCTGCAATACAAATATCAGGCTTTGCTTTTTGTTGTTTGCATCCTTCAGTGCCACCTTACCTGCCTCTTTCTGTTGAACATTCTTTGACTGCTCATGGTAGAATTATTATGATACTTAATGCATTTTATCATAAGTATTTATTCCCTATTTTCCTGGCTTATAATAAATTTTTCAGAAGCACAGACAGACGTTTCGTATTCATCTTTGTATTGACATGAACTTAAAGCCTTACTTTTAGTATTGAGTTCAGTAACAATCTTAAAAATTAATCTCTCATTTATGATTTTGATGTTCTTGATTTATGTCATAGTTTTGTAAGTCTATCATAGCAATTGAATATGTAGCCTAGAGGTAGAGCACTTGCTTAGCACGTATGAAACCCTGAGTTCAGTCCTCAGTACCAAAAGAAAAACCAACCAAATAAAAAATGATCTAATCATACTAAAGATATTTTACATTTTTTCTGTAGGTTACGTTATACAGCATGTATGTTTCCATAATGGCTTTCAATGCAAAGGTTAGTGATCCACTTATTGGAGGAACATATATGACTCTTTTAAATACTGTGTCCAATCTGGGAGGAAACTGGCCATCTACAGTTGCTCTTTGGCTGGTGGATCCCCTCACAGTGAAAGAGTGTGTAGGGGCATCAAACCAGAATTGTCGATCAATTGATGCTATTGAGGTAAGCATGCTTTAATTTTACATAATATTAAGTAAATATTGATACTAATTTCTTTGTTTGCCTCTAGAAATACTGTATCTTATTTAAAAATCATATTTGTTCATAGTTTCTAGTATAAAACTGTATGAACACCCCCTTCCCCATCATAATTATGGGTTATAACATTTTCATATCAGCAAAACTAGCTCACCTAAAGGTGCATCTCAGCAAAGGCCAGGATCATTGTCCTACACATTAGGTGCTGAATACATGCATAAATAAAGGCTAAGTTTTATAAGGATAGAAAAGGGAAAATTCCAGTGGCTATTCATATTGTAGCTAAAAAGACTGGTGAGTGTTTTGTGGATAAATTATTTCAAAATGTCATTAGTTACTTCTAGAGAGTTCCTTGGAAATTTCTTCACATTTCCAAATATGAAAAGCTGCATTTTGAAAATGAATATTGTTTACATCAAAAGTTCAAAATTGCTTTTAATCCTATTAGTAGTATTGAAGATTAAGATACATTAAAATATTTTGTCATTGGAGTGAGTGAAGTATTGAAATATTTTAACACATTTTTTTGATTAAGCCTTTAAATTACCAAATAGAAACATTAATTTCTGAATAGTGTCATTTTGAAATTGTGAAATATTCATTATATTTTTATTTTTACAGCTTTGCAAAAAACTTGGTGGCTCTTGTGTTACAGCACTGGATGGTTATTATGTGGAATCGATTATTTGTGTTTTTATTGGATTTTGTTGGTGGTTCTTTCTTGGACCAAAATTTAAAAAGTTACAGGATGAAGGACCATCTTCGTGGAAGTGCAAAAGGAGCAATTAATGCATAGACTGTTGGATGTTCTAGAAGGTAATTATAGGTTGGTTTTAATTGAGAGAGCTATGGTAATCCGTGCACAGGAATATAAAATATTATTTTAAACAAGGAAATTATTAAGATAAAATGCCAAATGGTTGAAAAATAGAACCTCTTGGTATGTTTCATCAAATTTTTCTTTTGCTTTGTTAATGTATTTAAAGTTTACTTAAGGTCAGGAAATTTGTTCTCAAACAGCTTTTCTAGCCTTGTTATTTGATTTATGTCTTTGTAATTTACTGACCAAAGCATGTTTTAAGCTGCAGTGTGTAGTAGTCATGGGTGGTAACCATGCAGTCAAATATTGTTACCAATACCTATCATTGAACTATTTAAAATTTCGGTATGGTATATTAAATGAAAGAGAGCTTGATATTCAGGAAGTAACTACAACTAATCTGAATTTATTGGCAGTTAAAAGTCTTTTTTTTGACTTGTAAATTGGTTAAATTTCATGTGGAATTTGCTGAGAAGAGACTATAGACTACTGAAACATCATTTAGTTGATTTCTGAGCATAACCACAGTGTACAAATGAATCTGTATGAAAAAGACTATTTTAAATGTATTTCCTGCTTTTGTAAAGCATTAAAGATTTATAAGAAGATAATTCAAACTATTTTTTATAAAATGAAAGCTACAATTTTTTAATTTATTGATTTCTTCCACCCCATATCCTTTTTTGGAAGCTACTTTGGTTCTTTGTTAACTTTTACCCTAATGGTTATGTATTTTTTCGGTCACAAGGGCTTCATGTTAGACAGCTAATGAGGGGATCAAATTTAGTGTTGTATGTATGTTCATGGCAAAGTTTTGAAAATAAAAATTAAATGTCATTCCTCAAGTCGTTTTTTTTTATTACCAAGAAAAATATTACAGCTTTCCAATTAAGTAAAATTGAAATGAGTAATACCATAATTTAAATAAATATTTTAAAGAAAGAGAGGGAGAGATATTTTGTGCCTTTGACAAACTAAATCATGTGGTAGGAGAATGTTTCTTAAGCACTTTATTAATAAAAATGATCTCATAATACTTTATGCCAAATCAAGTACAGTACTGTATCTTTTCTATTTACTAAAACACAACGTTTTGTTTGTAAACTATGCTTTCCAGTACAAAAATTGTATTCCAGGAGTGTCAGTTTTTGAGTATATTAGCAATTTTCAACATATTTACACCCAGTATGCTCTTGGCATATTTTGTGTTAAGTATTACTCTGACTCTTTAGAAATTATGTAAATTCTTTAAAAGTTAGGGGAAAAAGAATCAGTTACGAGGTTTAGTTCATTTTATCTTTGTGGGAAAATATATACTAACTTCTGATTTTATTTTATAACATAGGTTGAATTTTAGAACAGGGTTTTTATAAGTAATGGAGAATAAATTGGGTGGGAGAAGATGGCACACAGCATCTGAAGGAAGATAGGGGCAGTGGCCTCTAGAACACATGCATTACCTGTGTTAGGTATGGAAGTCAGATTGTGAAGAATCACCTGGAAAAATACTCATCCTAGAGACAAGGAGGCTACACCAAACCATAGACTACGGTACTCTGTCACATGATTTTCCATTATCATGTATTATAATCAAAATGTTTACTTGAATAAAGAAAAACCTACTTAACCCTCACATGTGGAATGTATTCTGATTTTCTAAGAAGCTCAGATTGCCATAATTGCCTTTTATTTCTTCACATTCATATTCTTTCAATTCAAACATGTTTTCAAACACAGTTTAGGTCTATATGTTTTTAGTGACTTTAAAGTTTTAAAATATATGTAAGCCTTTAACTCTAAGGAGAAAGTCATTAATTTGTTCTAGAAATGAACAAGAAATTATTTTGAAGTAATGTTTTGTTAATTTTGGTAAACGTTTGTCATGCATGCCAAAATGACTTGTTAAGAGCTATGTGCATCTGTGTTGCATACATTAATTAATTTGATTGTCGTGGTATGTAAAAATTATCTACCCGAGTTTATCATTGTAAATCAAAAGCACTAGAAAATACTACTTTAGAAAATACTTCCTTGGGCTGGGATTTAGCTCAGTGGTTTCGCCACCTGCTGCACAAGCGCAAGGACCCCAGTTCGATCCCCGGTACCAAAAAAAAAAACAAACAAACAAACAAAAAAGAAAATACTCCCTTATTTTCATGTGAGTGGACTTTTTGTTTTGTTATGTTGTTGTGGTTTTTGATTGGTTGATTGTGATAAATCAAACTCCATTTAAGTATGGACATTAACTTCCTTTAATTCAATATGTATTGACTGGCTAATATTATATTGAACATACAGTGTATCTTTTATGTTAGTGTTTCCATAACTACATGTGTTATAACATGTGAATACATATACATTAGAGTTTAAAACATTCTAAGATTAGCTAAGACTAAAACCAAAAACTCCATCCATTGTAAATATTTTCATTTTGCCTGATCAATCACAAAAAGTTCAATACATAGATTTCTCTAGAACTTTTTATATTAAACCTTTGAAATCTAAACCTATAATCTAAAGTTGTTGTTGGATTCTTTCTCTTCACTGCAAGGGTTTTTAGCTGAAAGATTTCAGTGGGGCTCTGAAACCCTTGAATTGGTTATAAAATATAAAAATCAGATATCTAATTTTAACTTTTGGGACATAGCTCTTGTTAAAATCTTCAAGGGCTGTGATCTAAAAAAAACAAAAAAAAGTAATCATCATGACCTTTACTGTAGACTGTACTTTGAATTGTAGTCATAAATCTGAATTAATAGTTGTGAAATTGTTTGCAGCATCTTGAAAGAATATTAAAAGAAAAATCTATGATGAAAACTGGAAAATCTCTGCATTTGTAGTACTGAACTTGAACCTTAAAGTAACTAGAGTAGATGAGGTATTACTAATAGAAGAGAGAGCATAGTGGTGAATTACATCCCACAAGACAGGTTAGTCATTTAACCTTTTGTTCCTGTGAATTACTATTTTTTTCTTTGCAGTACTAGGGATTGAACCCAGGGCCTCACACATGCTAGGCAAGTTCCCTACTACTGAGCTACATCCCCACTCCCTACGAAGGACTTTTATTTTGCCTTGTTAACAGAAACTGAAAAGACTATGTTGTTTTGTATTAAATGGTTGAAATTATTATTTAATATAACAGATGAGCAAATTTGTTTTCATATTTTGAGGACTCTTGCTATAAGAATGAGAAAAGGTACATAACATAGACCCTGCTAAAAATAAACATTCTTGGGCCAGAGATTTAGCTCAGTGGCATCGCACCTGTCTTGCAAGCCCAATGTCCTGAGTTTGATCCCCAGTACATAAAAATAAAAATAAAAAATAAACATATTCGTGGGAACAGACCATGCAGATTTCCAAAATTTATTTTACTTTAGAGAAAAAAAAACACTTTATGTCACTTGTCACTAGACCTTATTGGTATGTAAACAGACAAATATTTTCTCACTTTTTTTTTTTTGGTACTGGGAATTGAAGTCAGGATCTTGTGCTTACAAGAAGAAAATAAACTTAAAAAATTTCCATTACAACTAGGATTCATATATTTAAGAAGAACCAATTTAGTGACAGAGGGGAAGGTGATGTTTGTTGTTAATCACTGATATTTTTCTTAAACTCATGTCTTTAGTAGATAGCAAAGCATAATTTTTAATTTTCTCTTAAAAGATGTAAAATACCTATTATAAGGCCATATTCTTTTCCACTTCAGTTTATATCTCCCTGAAATAAAAGGGCCAAATTTCTAATGCAATTACTATTGATTTGGTACTGACAGCCTTTTCATTTCTCACAAGTCAAAATTTTATTAGGGTGTTCATTTTACTCTAGTTTGTTAGCAAGGTATAATAGACAAAAAGCTATTTTTTGCTTCCTGGAACTCTGCTGTGATGGAGGCAGATCTTGTAGCAGGACAGGTTAATGTACAGGACTCTTTCCTTCTCCTTAAGCAAATGAGAATTTAAATTTGACTATTGGATTATAAAGATTGCTTTCAAAGAGATTTGTCTATGCTTTACGTAACAATAAAAAGTCTATGATTAATCATATTTACTTTTTAAAACATTTTGCCAGCTGGGTGTGGTGGTGCACACCTGTAATCTGAGCAACACAGGAGTATGAAGCAGGAGGATCAAAAGTTCTACCTCAACCTAGGCAACATAGGGCAAGACCCTGTCTCGAGTAAAAAACAAAAAAAGCCTGGGATGTAGCTCAGTGTCAAGGCCCTTGGTTCAATCTCCAATATCTTAAAATTTTAAAAATTTTATTTTAATATAATACAAGTAGATATTAATAAAGAAAATCTTTAAAAGCATTCTATAAAAAATAAAACAAAATTTCACAACAAATAATTAGAGAATAACAATAGTTAATACACTGTGCATCAATCTTAAAAAGAATGGCCAAAATGTTGCTCAGTACATACTAGTCAGACAAAAAAGACTGTCTTACAAGGAAGAACCAAACAGATAAAAAGTTTGAGGCCAGCCTGACAACTTAATGAGAAGCGGTCTCAAAAAAAGGGTAGGGGGGTGGTATGTAGAATTGAGACCCTGGGTTCAATCCACAGTACTGAAGGAAAAAAACTACCAGTGGCATTCATTTGCATAGCTCGAATGAGCTCTTGAATCATTTTAAAAAAGGTTGCTACCTTCCAATACCTTTTTATTGTCAATGTAGACAATTTAACTTTATAATAATTTTGTGTGAAGAATAATGATTAACTACCAAGACTGAAATGAACAAATACCAGTGTAATTTTTAGGGAATTGTCACAAGTCCAAATTTAATCCCTAGTTAGTTACGATTAATCAGTCACTAATACAAAATATAAATATTACAGCCTCTTATTTTCCTTCAAATGACCTTAGAAGGTTGCTTTTATAGTTATAGTTAATGAAATTGAAATTTATTACATATAGTTACTAAATTAGCAAAATATAAAATTGGAACCAAATTTGATTTTTTTTTTTGGAGACAAGGTCTTCTTATGTAGCCGAAGCTGGCCTTGAATTCATGGTGACCCTCCTGCCTCAGCCTCCCAAGTGCACCACCATGCCTGGTTTGATATTTTAAAGAGTTAGGAATATTTGATAAATTGACAAATTTCCAATATCACATTATATTGGAGTGTTTCTATCATCCTCAGTCTTTGGCTTTACAAGAATGAATAGGAAGTGCTGGAGTTACAGCTTAGTGGTACAGTGCTTGCTTAGAATGTGGAAGGCCCTGGCTTCCATCTCTAGTGCCACCAAAATTTAAAGTACTCAATTTTGAAAGCCTTTGCTGTTGAAATGGTTATTAATTTTTTTTTTTTTTTTTAAGGCAGGTTCTCACCATGTAGTTCAGGCTGGCCTTGAATTCATTATGTAGCCCAGGCTAGCCTCAAATTCACAGCAATCATCCTGCCTCAGCCTCCCAAGTGCTGGGATTACAGGTGTGCACCACCACAAAAATCATTGCTAAATTATCGCACCCATGCTCAGATTTGAATTTAAAATGCACAGCACATAGTGTTACCATTTTTGGAAGATAAGACAACTTGAATTTTGCATTGTTGAAGTGTTTTCAATATGTGTGAAATATTAATTTATTTGGTTAATTTATTTAAAGATATGCATTAAGACTTGATATTTCTGCAGTGTTTTTTAAGTATTTGGTCATATCTGGAAATCTCCAGATTTTAACATAAAGAGTTATTTAAATGCTCAAAATGATTGTTACACAACTGATCTCTAAAAATTTTGTAAGAATCTTTTGGGTTTATGTTTTGTACTTGATTACTTTGAAGAGAACAATACATAGTGCAATAAGTATTCTCTTATTTGATTATGAAATTTTGTTTTGTTTTTCTTAAAATAAAATTTTAAAGTAAAGCATTAATGAAGTATCTTGTTTTCATTTTATTAAATAATAGCTAAATTTACCTTAAAATTACCCATGTTAAATCTGCATTATATTGGCATTATATAACTAGTGCCAACTATACTAATTGCAAGTGAGGTACACTTACTACTGAACTTTTTTCCTTTCTATATGGAGTCATTCTCAATTATTGTTTATATCTTTCATTAGTAACTTGAGCAAATGGGAGAATAGGTAAATGTATGTCACTTCCTTTTTAAGAAGAGATGATACATGGATGATTTGAGATTATAAAGGATTGGTGCATGCCTGTAATCCCAGCACTCTGTGAGGCTCAGCCAGGAGGATCTAAAGTTCAAGACTGGGTGTATCAGTCAGTGCTCACTAGAGCAACAGATTTAATGCAAAGGGGCTATCTGTGCACTGGAGATCCAAGTGGTCCAGTCAGAAATCGAAGGTCCAGAGCTTACTTTAGAGTCCCATGCGAGTCTGTACAGAAAGCTGAAAAGTCTGCACTAGAACCCTGGAGGCAGAGGTCCAAAGGCCGTGGTGAAGACTGGAGTTCCTCTGAAGAAGCAAAAGTGAGCCTTTTTTCTTTCCCTTTTTATTCCATTCAGGTTGCAAGCCTATTGGATGGTGCCACTCACACCCAGGGTGGGTCTTCCCTCTTCAGTAAGTCCATCATTCAGTTACACCCAGAAGTATGCTAAGCCAATCAGATGGGCGTTTCTTACATTGACAAAACAGTTAACTATCATACAGGGC